GGACTAAAGACATCGGACTGTATAGGGACCCCAACATCAGCATAAGCATTTGTATTGGGATATCCCTACCTTATTGGCCTTCATTATAACGGGGTTTATATTGGATATCCCTATCCTTATTTCTGCTTATGTGCTTTTTCGGGGCCCTACTGCAGGATTCAGGGCATTTGGGATGTGAGGATACGGACTTTGGCCTGTATTCCTCGAGCATGGTCATGTCCTTGCCTTAACAGCGGCCTCAATGACGGTGAGACCATCCTCACTGCCGGTCGAAGCACAAGAAGGGTCCAAATTCTGCGATTTTGGGTTTTGAAATAGATTGGGTCCTTGCTAAGTATCTTAAGTCAGCATCATACCGGCACACGGGTATCATCTTTGTAGAGTTACCAAAGCAACACGTCTTGCTGATTGTGGCACTTCGAATCAGATTGCTTGAATAAAAGCCCAGTAGCTTCTACTCTTCATACTGATCAAGGGACTATACTCTTGAGGTTACTTTTCCACGCAGAAGAACTGCTACAGATCCTCCACAACCATTACTATAGGGGCCTGAACAATCAACAAAGGGTTTTGGGGGTTATAATACTTTGACTAATGAGGAACACCCAAAATAGTATTGGTAATGATTTTGGCGCCCCCTTCCACAAGGACCATGTGGAAACGCAATTCAAACGACCGCTACGGAGTGTGATTTAAATTCCTCCAATCATGTAGGACATTCTAATCTGATTTACGAAACATGTGTCAACCACCCAAGCCATTGTGTGTTCGTTTGATGTGGGACATAGGGCTTTGCGCGGTTGAACTTTGCGGTTTGAAGCAGTGATGGAGTGGCACACGGGACAGTAGCTTAGTGTGCTGCAGTGGTGACAGTATGGTGGCGCAGCGGGTGGTTGCGGGTACTGTCGTAGCAAAAGCAAAAGCAACCTTTGCCTGCCGCAAACTCCGACTGCCGGCATATTGAGATCATTTCAACAGCCCTTAACCCTTCCACGCTGAACCTTAAACCACATCCATCACTCCCAAAGTGAAAAGACCGAGTTAGATGCTGCTCTAGACCCAAGAGTAACCTGGGAATAAAAAGCGTGCCCTTTTCGGTATCAAGGGGCTTGTAAGGGAGCCTGAGCCCTAAAAAAAGGGGAAAAACAGCCTACTCTAGGTCCTAGATCCTGCCAGACCCTCTTGAAACCACTCCTGGTCGAAGGCGATCTGTGGCACCGAAGCCGACGCAGGAGCCTCTCACGGAAATGTTGCAGCTCGATCTCGGATTTACTCAGCCCTGAGACTAGGGTTTTGGGTGTATTAATATCATATTTGTTTGTATTCATATCATAATCAAAATAGGAACCCGGAGAAACAGTAGTAGCATGTATTGTGTCTTCTAAAGATGTCAAAGTCACTCAAACCTTGCGATTTGAGGCATGGTGGGCCTTTGGGTAAAGGGTTTAGGGTAGTAGTGCGGGGTATTGTAGGGCTATACCCCAACTGGTTTACCAAACAGGCCCTATCCTGACTTACAAGCCCCAAGCAAAGCCTAAACCCGAAACCCTGAAAGCCAAAACATGTAAACACAAAGCTTCGGGACCAGCTAAAACTGCAACCCCAACAACCCCCCCCTGCCCTCTCCAAACTAATTTTACGAAGCCCTGACACCGTTAAACCCTCTTCAACCCCAAATCATTTTTCCACCGAACTTCTACAACTCTAAACCCCACCTCTAACTAAACCCTCAAAAACACTGAAACCCTAAACCCTAAACTCTGAAACCCTAAACTCTGAAACCCTGAACTCTAAACCCTGCTTTTCAAAACAGCAACGGCGCCGACCTCGACCTTCCCAGCAGTCGAGGGCTCCGCTGAGGAGGCACCTGGAAAGCTGGTTTAGGGCTTTAAGGTAAAAGCCAGAAAGTTGGAATATGATTATCCTAACCCTTCTATGGTAAACTATAGGGTATCCTACCATGAAACCATATTCCAACTTTCTGGAGTTCCCTTTAGGGTTTAGGGGGTTATATAAGGGTTTAGGGTTTGGGGGTTTAGGGTCTAGGATTATGGTCCAAATTATGGCATTAGGGCTTTAGGGTTTAGGGGGTTACATAAGGGTTTAGGGTTTGGGGGTTTAGGGGGTTAGGGTTTAGGGGGTTACATAAGGGTTTAGGGTTTGGGGGTTTAGGGGGTTAGTAGGGGTTTAAGTTTAAGGGCTTAGTGGGTTAAGGGTTTAGGGTTTGGGGGGTTTAAAGGGTCTACTATGGGCTTTGGGGGTTTAGGGGTTAAGTGGTTTTAGGGCTTAGGCTTTAGCGGTTTGGGTGGTATAGGGTCTAGGATTATGCTCCAAATTATGGCATTAAAACTAGGGCTTTAGGGTTTTAGGGCCTAGGACTAGCAGGGTTTAGGGTGTTAAGGTCTCAAATTCATCGTCCGAGTTTAGGGTGTCAAGGGTATGTTTAGGGTGTAAAAGATTTAGGGCTAGGGTTTGGCGTTTAGTGTTACGGGGAGAATAT